GCCCCCCCCCCCCCCCACTCTTTACATCCTGTTGTCTCACCTAGGCTTCAAGATGATTTTGTTCAGTATCTGACCTTGGAGTTGACCTGAAACTGCTTTCTGGGGGTTCTGAGTCTGTTTGGTTCCTTCTTCTCTCCTTTCTAGGACCTGCTTTCTATGCTGTTTGTCTAAGGCTGGGGTGACCCTGACTGTCCCCCGAAGTGTACCTTTTATCTGCCTCTCTCAGAGCCTATTGGTACTTTGCATAGAAGTGAGACTTTCTCATGAAACAGGGAAACAGCAGTGAGTAGGTGGGTGAGTGACTATCAAGCAGCATCCTAGTGTTTTAACAAATCCATTGCTCATTTGCTTCTCAGTACTTCTCAACCAAGAGAAACTTGGTCGCCGAAACTGGTTTGGCTCAGTGGATAGAGCGTCGGCCTGCGGACTGAAGGGTCCCAGGTTCTATTCCGGTCAAGGGCATGTACCTGGGTTGCGGGCACATCCCCAGTAGGAGATGTGCAGGAGGCGGCTGATCGATGTTTCTTTCTCATCGATGTTTCTAACTCTCTATCTCTCTCCCTTCCTCTGAGTAAAAAATCAATAAGATATATTTAAAAAAAAAAAGAAAACATTGGCAAATATGTTAAAAAAAAAAAAAAAAAGAAACTTGGTCCAGGGTGACCCAGTATGGGGTGGGACTGGGAAAGGACAACCTTCTAGGGCTCTGATCCCTGAAATTCTGAGACTGAGGAGTCAGGTCATATTTCTAGTTGGCTCAGCCCCCCATGGCTCCTCAGCACTCATGCCCACTGCTCTGGATGCAGGGCCCTTGAGCAGGGAGGTGGAACTGGGCATCATTTAATGCAGGCACTGCCCGCAGGATTTCACTTGGTTATAGATGTTGTGATTTTGAGGCATCCACCCACCCCAACAGACTTACACTGAGCTCTGCTCTTTCGGATGCTATGCCAGGCGCCTTTACAAGCCACTGAGCCTCACACAATCCTGTAAAATAGGCAGTGGGGTTACCACTTTTTTAAGATGAGGAAATGGAAGCTGAGAGGTTTAGCATGAACCGGCAAGGGGTCAAACTTGACTTCTGAAGAGCCCCGCTTCTTTGCTGCCTCCATCAGGGCTGCTGCTCGGTCAGCTGCTTCTCTTGAGCTGACCCTAGATGCCAGGCCAGTTAAGAACTTTGATTTGGTTTGGCTCTATTCTGGGTGTGAGGCTGACCTCTGGTGGCCACCTGGTTAATTTGTTCAGATCATTCATTGGTTTACAAAAAAAAGAGGCTAAGTTTCTGGAACTAGGCAGGCTGTGGGACAGAGAATTGAGTGAGGCAGTCCCTGCCCTGCAGGAGCACACAGTCTGGCAGGCAGACAATTACAGAACTGGTGACAAATGGAAGTACAGAGGCCATGAGATCACAGAAGGAAGTAATAGTAATAGGCACCCACAATACTTAACTCATGTACTACATCTAATTACCCTCAAGCACTTTTTTTTCTGATTTTTTACTTTATTTTTAAAAAAATATTTTTAGTTTTTTAATTACAATTGACATACAATCTTAGTTTCAGGTGTACTACATAGCGATTAGAGGTTTATATAACTTACGAAGTAATCTAATCCTCCCATAAGTCTAGCACACATCTGACACCATACATCGCCACTGCAGCCATCAGTCGTTGCCTCCCTGTGGGGCGACCAGCAGGGTGATGGTGGGGGGGTCCAGCTGGTACCCGCCTTGGTTGGCCTGGGGCCTACAGGCTGGGGGCAGCTTCTGCGCTGAGCATCTGCCCCCTGGTGGTCAGTGCATGTCATAGCAACCTGACATTCCACTGGTCATTCTGCCGTTCAGTAAATTTGTATATTAGCTTTTTATTATATAGGATTATTGATTATATCCCCTGTGCTGTACTTAATATCTCTATGATTATTTTGTAGCTACCAGTGTGTACATCTTAATCCCTTACTCCTTTTCACCCAGCCCTCCAATCCCCCTCCCATCTAGCAAACACCAATTTGTTCTCTGAGTTTGTTCCTGCTTTGTTCATTTATTTTGTTATTTAGTTCCACATGTACATGAAATCATTTAGTATTCGAATTTTTTTATCTGACTTATTTCACTTAGCATAATAGCCTCCAGATCCGTCCATGCTGTCACAGATGGCAGGATTTAATTCTTTTGTATAGTTAATATTACTTTGTATATATGCACCACATCTTCTTGTCTATTCCTCTACTTATGTACACTTTGGTTGGTTCCATATCTTGGCTATTATAAATAATGCTGCAGTGACCATAGGTGTGCATAGGTCTTTTCTAATTAGTGTTTTGGATTTCTTCAAATAAATACCCCAAGTGACACTGATGGGTCATATGGTAGTTCTATTCTTAACTTTTCCATAGTGGCTGCATCAATTGACAACCCCACCAACAGTGCACTAGGGTTCCCTTTTCTCCATGTCCTTATCAGGCACCTCTTAATGTTCTACACTCGATAAATAACCATGGAACCCAGAAATGTTCAGATAGTAAGTGGAGCCAGGATGCAAACTCAGGTCTTCTCACTCTACTGCACAGTTCAGCCTCAGGGAAAGGCCTGGTGGGAGGGACAGAATCCTACTGGATGAGGAGGAGGTAACCAGGCAGAGAGACACAGGAAGGGTGTTCCTGGGAAAGGAAAGGGCATGAAGTTTTTGAAAAAGCATGGAGGGTTTGAAGAAATGGTGTGAGGAAGGAGAGGCAGGAAGGACAGGCCTGGGAGGAGGCAGGGGCTGAGTACCGAAGGGGCTGTGGGCCCTGTGGGAAAATCCACGTGTTGTCCAGTGATGGGAAACCATGAGAGCTTTGAAAGGAAAGTGAAAGGGGCATATTTTGGTTTCTAAAGCTGGCTGTTTCAGTGGGAGGATAGGTTGAGGGAGCCACCTGAAGCTGACGGCCACTCAGGACAGTACTGCCCATGCCAGTGATGCTAACCTGAACCAGGTGTGGGAGCCAGGAGGCGACCCGTGTTGCTGGCTGGGGTAGCCGAGTGGGTGATGGTGCCAGCACTGCCACAGGGGACCTAGCTGCAGGAGCAGGTTTGGGGACAAGGTGGGGGTTTATTCATTTCTCCAACACTTTTTATTGGGTGGACCCCTCAGTACCCAGGGAAGCCTGGTGCCTCGTAGGGGCTCTGCAGATGTGTGTGGTGGGTGGATTCATGAATGGAGAGAGGCTTCTGTTCCCTCCACCCACTCCCACTTCCTAGTAATAATGATTTTTACTCTTCCCTGTACAACCAGCCACTCCGTAATACCCGCCTGGCAGGGGGAGATGTAGGCATGAGGAAGAAGAGTAGCAGATAACTGCTTCCTGTGCCACACACTTCTCAGCCCCGGAGGTGGCAGAGGCTGAACTCAGAGCCCGTCCTGACAAGAGGAGCTCATTCTCCAAGGAGCGCAAGTACCAGCATCCAGTTCTGCCCTGTGTGATGAGTTCCTAAGTTCTGAATTCATTACTGCACTGCAGACGCCAGGGCACTTTAGTTTCCCTTAATTAATTAAAATGCCGCATGATCATCTTTCTCTGATTTAATGTTCCAGAGGCCCTGGCGAAGGCTGGGAGTGAGGAAATTCATTAGAGGAGACTGTTCACTGTCGACTGACTTGCTCATTCTTATTAATTTTACCTGCGTCATCCATCTCTGGGGGAGAGGCGAGGGTGATGTTTTCTTAAAAACATAGGATTAAATTAATCATGCAACCTGACCAAAAAAATTAATTTTGACTTTTTACATTGAAGGTGGGAAGTGGGTACATTTGGGATTGGACACTGGCTTTCAAACGATCTTCCTCGAGCCCAGTTATAACTTAGTCGATGACAGACGGAGATCCAGGCTGCCTATTGCTGACAGCATCAAGCCCAGCCTCCTATGGAGGCATTTAGGGGTGTGGCCTAAGCCCCAGTCCCCCCACCTGCCACCTCAGCTCCCAAGCAGCTGCAATGGTCACTACGCCCCATTCACAAATGAGGCAGCACTCCTCTAGCCCTGCTTCTTTCACATGCTGTCTCCTTAGCTAGGAATCCCCCACAGCCACTCAAACCCAGCTCAGATGCCTCCTCTTCTCTTCCAGGAAGTCTTCCCTGATCTCCTGCTCTGATCACAAAGTGGACACCTGTGCTTCCTGGCAGGACAGTGGCCTTGTCCCACTCATCCCCAGTCTGTCTCCCCTGAGTGCAGGGCCCAGGGCCCTCCCACCTTCACAGAGTCAGAGTCTGCATTCTTCTGGTCTATGGAGAATGGCACGCCTGCATGCATGTGGAAGACGGCAGAGACGTATCTAAGTGAGTGGATTACATACTAGAATGTTTATATAGTGGGAGACCCAGGTTCAGGGGGAGCTGGAAGAATCAGGCCAGCGGCAGACGATTAGGACTGGTCAATAACTGCAAGCAAGGTGCTCAGTGGGGCTGTGACTACGGCCCAGGTGACAGGCAAGGGAAAAAGGGGCAAGATGCACAGGGATGATGAAGGATCTGTGGGCCTTGGGCCACCCACAGGAGCATTCCAAGGACAAAGAGACCAAAGACTGTCCTTAAAAACATTTATTTTCAGGGTGCAGGGGTCCTGTGACATCATCACATCTATGAAAATAGGGTAGAAAACACAGGCTCTGGGAGATCATGTTTCCAAAGGAAGCACACGTTCTTCAGCCTCTGCAGAGGCCGTGGGCTCTCACCAATGAGAAGCCGTTAGGTTGGGACAATCATGTTTCTTCTTCCTTTTTGGTTTTGGTGAAAATTTCAGACAGTGTAACATGTATTAATTTTTTTGCACAGAATGATGATGTACACCCAGCCTCATCAGTCTTCCTGCTCAGCTCCCTCATCGTAGGGCTCTGTCCACCCTGCTCTCTGGGTCTATATCCAGTTCTGTTCGGGCAAATTTGAGGCGATTCAATTGATTTTGTGAAGTGTGCTTATTAGCAGTACGGTTCTACCACCTTCTCCAGGGCCTCAGCCTCCCTGTTCCTCCCGAGTGTCTTATCACCCCTTCAAATCAAGAGGAATTAACTGCAGGCCTCGGGTACAATCGAGTGGTGGTCAGTGGGAGAGGTTAGGAGGTGCTGAGTAGGGAGGAGATGTGAGCAGGTCCCCCAGCAGCGCCAACCTCCAACAGACAAGGAGAGCTTCCAGTTTGATCAGTTTTAATTCTGATTTTACTCAAAGAAGGGGTTCCAATGTCTTAAAGTTTGAAAACCACCCATCCCGTTTCATTCAAATGAGGAAACTGAGGTGCAGAAAGTGAAGGGGACTTGCTCAGGGTCACACCGTGAGCCAGGGGTGAAGTCCCACATGGACCTCCTGTGTCTGGGTTCCCAGGCCCGTCTACTGCTGTGTAGCATGCAATGGTGTTGCCACCCCCAAATGTCAGTTGTGAAATGGCCAGCCTTAAAGGCAGAAAATGCAATTCCAAAAAGGACCCCAAAATGTCACGCCCACCGCGGGCAGCACAAGGTTGCGTTTTCAGTGTTGAGGTGAACCTGGATAAGAAATCCCTGAAGCCTGGGGAACTGGCCGCCTCTCCTACCAAGTTTAGAGATGATCTCGAGAAGCAGCACCACGGAGTGGAGAGAGCGCCAAGGAGGGGCAGGCACCTGAGTCTGGCCCCTCTCAGAGGCCTTCAGACCTTGGGCACCTGCTCTGCTCTCAGAGCCTGGTTCTTCCTCAGGAAAGGGGCAGGGACACTAACCCGCACCCTGCTGCCCTGCACTTGGGAAGTGACTGCAGAAGGAAAAGGGCCTCATGAACTTCAAGGACTATCCACAGGTGAGATCCCGATTTTAAAAGTTTTAATCGCCGAGGATACCTATTTTTTTTTTTTTTAGCCCAGACATTAAATATTCTCCTTCTTCCCTTCTTCACTTAAAATAAAGAAAGCAAGCCCCATTCCTGGCTGAAGTCAAAACACCTCTAAGTCAAACCTTCTATTACACTCTCGTTCCACAGCCCAGAGAGAGCATGGGACCCTGTTTTTACAATTTGATGTCTAGGAATCAGGTCTCCACTGCCCACCTGGTTCAAGAATGCTGGGCTTGGGAACAAGTAGACATCTTGGTCCCCCAACGCCCAGCCATGGGGCCCCTGAGTCCGGTAAAATGTTTCTTTAAAATGGAAGAGTGGCAGGAATAGAAGAGCTGCAGCCAGCTATCCTCTCCCTGGTGTGAAGCAGTGGTGTTTGTTTTTGAGGAAATACCATTTAAAAAAGAATGCTAAGTCCACACTTGCTGTGTTTTTTTCTGTAGGGCCATCTTATCTAGGATGACAGGGCTCAAAGAGACACAGGTAACATCCAGTCCAAATGCCACATTCACAGGTGAAGAGTCCAAGGCCCAGAGAGGGAAGGGACCTGTCCAGGTCACACAGCAAATGAGAGGTCAGGCAAGGACAGAGGGACCCTCCTCCTCGGCTCTACCACACACTCTAAGTCACAGGGCTCCACCAATCAGCCGCAGACAACTGAGGTGAAGGGTCACAGTGCACACCCTCGTCTAGCCCTTTAGAGTTACAAATACACCACAACATGCTCTCCCCCGGGGAGGGAGTAGTTAAAAAAAGAATTCTCTCAGAGCAATTCATTTCAAAAGTATAAAAAAACCACGTGCAGTCCAGGCATTTTCCCCGTGTTTGCCCTGCTAAAAACTACATTTGCATATGAATCTAGTTTGCATCTAGTTTTTAAAAACATACAAAAGGGGTCATCTACAAACAGTTTTTCCAACTTGTCACACAGCGAAACCACCCACAACTTGACTTTCCCATCATCCCGTGGTCATGCTTCTGAGACCCTGGAAGAAAAGAGGGAAAAGAGTTAGAGAGAGGACAGAACCCTGCTCTGTCACAGTCAACTTCCTGCTAGCTGGGAGGTGGGGGAAATGGCACTCCTGGTAGTTTCCTGGCGTTCATTTTTTGGTTTTCGGTGCATCCCTATAGACCTGACATAAGGCCTTGTACACAGGAAGTGTCTAACAACAGTGGCTAAATCATACACATCACAACCACAGCAAAATCCTCATGCTTTTCATATTGTTTCTAATTTTTCCTGCTATTGAAAACTTGTCAGTAGGCCTTGGTGACAGTGCCTGTTCACAACTATTCCTGCGGTCCTGTAAGATAATGCCTCCCTTTCGGATGGTTGAGCGTCATCCCATGCACCTAGAAGTTGCTGGTTCGATTCCCGGCCAGGGTACATGCCAGAGTTGTGGGCTAGATCCCTGGTAGGGGGCAAGCAGGAGGCAGCCAATCGGTGTTTCTCTCTCCCTCTCCCTCTAAAAAAAATTAATAAGAACATATTTAAACACACACACACACACACACACACACACACACACACACACACACACACACACACACACACACACACACACACACACACACACACACACACACACACACACACACACACAAATAAGATCATGCCTCCCTGTCCTCCTCCTCCTATGAGAGGAGCAGATGCCGCTCACCCCTCTAAGGCTGGGTGTGGCCCTGTGACCTGCTCTGGATACGGACTTAAGCAGATGTGACAAACACTGAATCCGAGCAGAAACTTTAAATGAGATTGTGCGCTTGGCTTGGCCTCTTGCTCGTCCCCTCTGCCACGAGAGTGGACATATTCCACAGCGGGGCTGCTCCTCCAGCTGGGTCCCCACAGGGCGGGGAGCCATGCCAACCTGCCACCTCGACATGGAATGTGAGGAGGAGATACATGTTGGTGCCTGTGAACCAGCGAGGTTTGGGGGTTGTTAAGCAGCAGAAGTTGGCTAATAAGGGATTCATTTTCTAAGTTCACAGTCCACCTGTTGGAGGGGTACAGCTCTCACCCAGGGGACTCTGAGGACTCGGGCCCGCCTGGCCCAGGGAGACACAGGTTCCCTGCAGATGTGCTGCTAAGAGACACAGGGAGGAACCGGGACACAGACGATGAGGCTCATGTGTCTTCTCTGTGGGCACGTGGTGCTGTCACATGACTGTGTCTGCTCTCTCCTTGCCTCTCTAGGGGGATCCGCAGGAAACACTCCCCTCAGCGTCAGAAACAGAGAGAAACCGCCGGTCCTCTTTACCCTGTGCATGCCCGTAACACTCACAGCTCTTCACGTGCATGGTAGGTGGGAAGCCCAGAGTGATATGTGCATAGAACACACTAGAGATTCTACCTGCTGTCGTATGTTCCTACTCTTGTTTTGTATCCTGGTTTCCTGCGTTTATGTGTGTGTGTGTTTTTTCTTTTTATTGCACATCTTTATAAACCATCTCCATCTCTTAGGGCACAGGTGTATAAAATACAAAAAATGACTTAGAACATGTACTCACTCTGTCACATGCGGTCGTGTGGAGCTGGGAAGCGAGGGGCTTTGTATGTGCTCAGGTCGCTAACCGTCACCTTGCCGTGGGACTGGGCCTCCCCAACCGCATTGGCCGAGTGGCACTGGTACACTCCCTCGTCTTCCTTTCTCAGAGGGTTGATCTAGAAATAAAGCAAACAAGTTTATAGAGTTCTTTGTGGCACAGCAAAATCACTTCCTTACTGAGTCTTGGTGATACCTCTGAGCACTTATTCCTTTTCAAAATAAGCTTGAGCTCACTCTGTTTCTCTTCTTGCCTTGGCTGCCAAGGAAGAATTTAAATTTCTTTCTCAGCACCCTCTATCGTGGCTCTCATGTTAATGTTGCCTCTGCCTCCCTGCCTTTTACTGTGAGCTACCCCGTCCTTTTATTGAAGGGGATAGATATAGATCAGTGGTTCTCAACCTGTGGGTCGCGACCCCTTTGGGGGTTGAACGACCCTTTCACAGGGGTTGCCTAAGACCATCAAAAAACACATATATAATTACGTATTGTTTTTGTGATTAATCACTATGCTTTAATTATGTTCAATTTGTAACAATGAAATTGGGGGTCACCACAACATGAGGAACTGTATTAAAGGGTCGTGGCATTTAGGAAGGTTGAGAACCACTGGTATAGATTATAAGGAAAATATTGCAAATGAAAAGAACAAAAATCTAGTGCCCAAGGAATGGCCCACAGGGGCTCCCAAAGGAGGCAGCCTTCACAAATCAACTCCAGGAAAACCTTTCTTCCACACTTTTTTGTAAGGAAGTTTGGGAATGTTAGGGTCACAGGGCCCCTGGAAGCTGTCTAGCCTAAAGCCCTCTTTTTACAATTGTGGACACCGAGGCTCAGATTTGAAAAAGCCACGGACCCAACTGCATTCTGAGTTTCTGAGCTGGATGCTGAGGATTCGCCAAACCTCGTAGAGTTGGTGGCGAAGTGGGGACGACACCCCCGAGGGCACCCTGTTCCCCGGCCCCTGCAGAGCAGATCCACAGCAGTGCTCTCCGCTCTTGCTTTCTCTTGTTAGAACAACCTCTATCAATTGCGAGTCACTCTACAGACTGGGGAGGACTTATGCGCACCGTCTCGTTTTGAACACACGGTGATCATGGGTGAAGGGGGAGCATCATTACCCTCATGCTACAGGAGCCTCGCAGGTAAGTCACAGATTGTTAGAATCAAGCGGCCCTGGACGCTGTCCAGTCCAAAGCTCTCTTTTTACAGTTGCGGACACTGAAGCTCAAAGAGTTAGAGCAACTTGGCCAACATGAACCCCTGTCTCATCACTTCATTGCTCCTTCAAACACCTGGCATTCCCTCATCTTAGCAAAACTGCTGCAAGTGACACAGAAAAGCTATCAGAAGATGTGAAAGTAAGCCTTCCCTCCTTATCAGCTATGTGGTCTCGGGCAAATGTATTAGTTTCCTATGGCTGCTGTAACGAATTACCACATACCCAGTGGCTTAAAGCAACACAAACTTATTATCTACACTTCCTGAGGTTGGAGTCCAAATGTGTCTCAGTGGGCTACAATCAAGGGTGTTGGCAGGGCTGCTTTCTTTCTAGAGACCCTAGGGCAGAGGTTCTCAACCTTCTGGCCCTTTAAATACAGTTCCTCATGTTGTGATCCAACCATAAAATTATTTTCGTTGCTACTTCATAACTGTAATGTTGCTACTATAATGAATTGTAATGTAAATATCTGATAAGCAGGATGGTCTTAGGTGACCCCTGTGAAAGGGTCATTCGACTGCCAAAGGGGTTGCGACCCACAGGTTGAGAACCACTGCCCTAGGGGAACATACGTTTCCAGTCTACAGGCTGCCTGCATTCCTTGGCTTGTGGCCCCTTCCTTCCATCTTCAAAGCCAGCAATGGCGAGCCATGTCTTTCTCCCACTGCCATCTCTCTGGCTGCCTCTCTCCTGCCTCCCTCTTCCACATTTAAGGGACTCTTGTGATTTCATTGGGCCCACCCAGATAATGTGGGGTAACTTCTTTATTAAAGTCAGGTAATTAGCAACCTTAATTCCATCTGCAACCTTACTCCCCTCTTGCCACATAACAGAAACCATCCATAGGCTCCAAGGACTAGGACAGGGACCTCTTTCCAGGGCCATAATTCTCCCGAACACGAAAGATCACCTGCTCGCAGGGGTTATACTGCCGGCCCTGCTTTCCTCAGAGTTCTTCCGGGGGCCAATGAAAACTGGATAAGATCAGCTTTGAAACATGTACCATGTTATAGAAATATAAAGGGTGTTTTACAAGGGCCAGTCAATAGTAGCCAGAATCTGAAACGAATGAGCCACTCACCAAAATCCAGGCTGTGGCCTCGTGGTCAGAAGGACCCCCTCGCACCTGGACAGCGATATTGACATGGTCCCCAGGCAGGTCCTCTAGCGCCTGGGTGCCCTCAGGAGACTGTGTGACCTGAAGAGGACGGGAAAGCCAGGAATGGTTCAGAGAAAGCATTTCTGGAAACTACCTCCCACAGACATCCGCACTGTCTTCATCTTCCCACTGACGGGAAGGCCAGCACCCTGAGAGCTCCTGTTGCTGTTAAAACGTTCGTCAGTCACTTTAAAAACCCAAATGCACATGCAGCCAGCACACTCTGGTGGACAGCAAAGATGCGGACACCAGCTCCATCTTGCAGAGGCAGGTCAGAGGTCCACGGCCCTTCTCAGGGCTCTTGAGACGAGGCACAACCTATGCTGGGATCCGTGCTAGTCGCTCAAAAATTGATCGGCAAGAAGATCTAGTTTTGGAACGGGATGGGACTATCTGCCACCAGCCAAGTCTTTCTAAAACCCAATCCAGTGACGTCGTCTCCTACTTCATTCCAGCTGATCGAGGCTAGGTAAACAGCAGGACTTTCTCGACAGCTGAGTGGCCAAGAGAGCAAATGCCACAGGAAGGATGGCAACGGCTCTTCTCTGGGGAGAGCTTTAGGGTGAATGTTTTGAGGCATAAACCTGGAGGCAGAGGAATGGTATAGAAGATATCCTTTTAAAGTCCTCTGATCTGCCCTGGCTGGTTTGGCTCAATGGATAGAGCGTCGCCTGCGGACTGAGGGGTCCCAGGTTCAATTCCAGCCAAGGGCACATGCCTGGGTTGTGGGCTCGATCCCCAGTGGGGGGCGTGCAGGAGGCAGCCAATCAATGATTCTCTCTCATCATTGATGTTTCTCTCTCCCCCACTCCTTTCCTCTCTAAAATCAATAAAATATATATAAAAAAATAAATAAAATAAAAATAAAGTCCTCTGATGATCCACATATGCACACAAACACACTTAAAAGGATAAAAAGCCTTTATCTGCCCCCCAAACACACACACACACACACATACACACACATACACACACACACACGAGAGTTCTGATATATAAATACCTTCCTCCACGTGATGACTGGGGGAGGCACCGCCCTCACCTCGCAGGACAGGTACACCTGGGCCCCAGTGATGTTGTGAACATTTCGGGGTGGAATGATGACCACGGGAGCTGGAAGAAGACGAGGGAACACAACCTTTACCTTGCCCGGACCCAGGACCCCGCTTCCGGAATCCCCTGACTGTGGCGAGCCTGCGGGGCCCGTCAAACATGGGGAGGGCAGTGGCAGACCAAAGCTCTCCACACACACAGAACAAACTCGCAGGCAAGGCATTGTGGAGAGAGTCTGCCTTAGACCCGGAGGGATGCCTGCGTGCTTCCTCACCCATTGTCTTTGCCCCACCAGCAGGAAAACGGGTTCAGAGAGAAAAAGGCAGCTTCCTAAAGCTAACAGCCTGTCTGCGGCAGAGCTCGGTCTCACACTCCCTCCCAGGCCCGGGGTTCCATCTGCTTTTGGCTCAACAGCACGACAGGGCGTTGGGCTCCGGGAGGGGCTGGTGTCACTTTACCCACAGCCGAGTCTACTAACAGATGGGCTTTTCTCTTTCCACATGGAGGGCCCTCGAAGAATAATGCCACCTAAGACAGCTGCATCCACCCTGGAGCTGAGATCCCCTGCGGTCCATTCAAGACGCTCATTTGCATATCACAGACTCACAGACTGCACTTGGCCTCCCCCACCCCGCACACCTCCCCATCCCCAATGGCAGAACTGCTGACCTGGAAGCCCTGTAGAGGTTGGGAGTCGGGCGGTGTGGATCTAGGCTGCTGGAGCGTTACAGAAAGGAGAGGGAGGGTGTGGGTTCACTGGAGGGCACCGGAGAGTATGTGGGTATCCGGGTTAGAAATCCTTAACTCATACTCCATACTCTGCCCTTCTCTGTGTGCCTGGCATCTGCTCTACTCACGCTGGGACTAAAAGAATCAATTCCATGGACCTTGGCCTTCAGGCTCTCCATCGGCCCCTCACTGTTCCTGCCTCTGCATGGCATACACCCCTCGCTCCAGAGGCGGACGGCTCCCATCATGCAGGGCTGAGAGGGCAGGTGTTCTGGTCCGGGACCAGAGGCTCTGCACCGCGTTGACCTGCTGAATCATAGCCTGCCGCGCAGTCCAGGCTCCACCTGTCTCACCTGCACAAGAAGGCAAGCGTGGCCCACCCTCGCGTCTGGCCCCACGCTGTCCTGGGCAAGGTGAAGTGTGGGTCCCTGGCCGGGAAATGCTCTCTGCTGGGTTTTGCTGATCACGGGTTGTTGAGCTGATCTTACTATGTGATGAGTGTGAAAGTGATGGTTTCAGTTAACACAATGTGCAAGCGGGGGTCAGACGCAGGTCTGGTAAACAGATGACTGGATGAAGAAACAAAAAGAGCAAACACATTCATTCTCCCACTGCAGAGTGTACAGACTCCTGGGGCTTTCCTGATGACTCAAGGACAGCCTGGCAAGCCAGCCTTAGAGAGGAAAAGAAGAACAAAGGGAGGGAGACAAAAGGCTTGGAGAAAAGGGGAGAGGGGAGGTATAAATATTTCTTTTTCAAGTCCAGCTTGGCTAGAGAGCGGTCCAGTTCCTGAGTAGGGGCGATGGAAAATGAAAAAAATGAAAGAAAGAGACAGACACAGAGATGGAAGAAAAAAGGACAGCCAGGTGGGACCACTGTCCTCTGATGATGAGACAGGGCCAGGGACCCAGGTTACTGCCTGTTTATTTTATACAGCAAAACCCAGGAAGTTTTACTAAAGGTCAAGACAAAGGAGATTATGTGCATTCTTGGGTGGGCCTGAGTCGTACTCATTCCTGGTGCTTGGCTGGATTTAGATAACGAAAACCACCCCTGGCGCCTGGGCTGAAGGTCAGGCTGACAACACTCCTGCCTCTGGCAAGGTGTGTTTCCAGGACGTGGCTCTGCCAACGCCACTGGATTCAGCTGACAATAATTAAAGAAATGCCCGTGTGCCTTCCCAGGCGCTCTCTACAGGGAGGAGTGAAAGGATGCCGAAATGAGACTGGTCTGGCTCCTTCAGACAGACTATGAAGCACACCCGTCAAGCTGGTGCCCAAAAAACTCTGGGAAACTATCTTAGAGCCACAGAATATCAAAACTAGAGGTCCTAACTCTCCCCAAGATCCTGTGCCTGACCATCTGTGATGTGCTCATTTAACCTCCAAGTGCATGCCTCTAGTGACAGAGAGCTTCCTACCTATGGAGCCAGGCCCTTCTATCCTTGAAGGGCTCTGCTGGTAAGAAAGCTTGTCCTCATTGGAGCTAAAAACCCACTTCCCTGTAACTCCCGCCTGTTTATCCCATGCTGCCCTCCGAACCCTACAGCCCCCTGGGTGCCCCAAGGGCCTCTAGTGAACTGAATTCAGACACTGCCCTTCTTCCCCCTCAGTCTGTCTGATCAGCTCACGCCTTCAGTTGTGGCCATCTCACTGCCCTCTACCCACGTCCCTGAGCGTGGTCAATGTCCCTTCGATGAACCAAGGTCCTAGGCTTCTAACACTGCCCGATGCGCCCAGCCACCTGCCTGGCTGCCACAAAGAACCACAACGCCCCTGCTCTCTGGCAGGAGCCCCATCTGCACAGATGACAGAGAGTCTGATGTATTCACATCCTCCTGCCAGCATTGCCTCCCTCCAGAGCCCAAACGGGTCCTGGAACGGCTCGCTGTGGGAACAACCAGAATCACGTCTTACTCCAAAGCCCTCAATGGATTCCAAAGGGACACTCAATCAACATGCTTTACTTTCGTTCATGTAAAGTCATAAATTTTAAATGAGATTTCATCAATCCCTTTCAGGTCTAAATGAATAAACCAGTAAATCACATTTCCTATTTTTCTCCTTGCATTTCCCTCTCCCTCTCTTTCAATAACTGCAATTAGGAAAGGCTGTCTTTGCCACTGATTTCACATGGCAGAAAATACCATTTCTTTTACAAAAGAGCTTTTGATGATAAAGTGACATTCAAAGGTTTATTTTTAAATTTACACACAGCACACGCCTTCTTTCTGGCGTACAGGTCCACGTTCTGATAGATGCATACAGCTGTGTAACCGCTGCCATGACCACGTCAGAGGACAGTCCGGGTATCTAGAAAATTGTCCTCGTGTCTCTTTGTCATAGTAATCTGTTTTTAATGTTAACCTGTCTGATTTCACATTGAAAACATTTTTATCCATAAAAGCTCTTTATAATCAGTCATCATCATCATCATCGTAACAATGGCAACAATGCCACCAGCTAACACTGAGCTTGCTGTGTGCTAGGCACTCTTCTGCTTATGGGGATTATTAACCTATTTGACCTTTCCAGCTCCCAGCAGCTGCCAGCCGGGGGAGCTAGGCAGGGTCACCCAGCCGTAAAAGGCTGGGCGAGGCTATGAGCCTGGGGGTCTGGCTCCAAGCTCTGCCCTCTCCTTACATGACACGTCCAGGTACACTACTCTTTTCACCCTCACACCAGCCCTGCATTTATCCCTATTTTACAAATGAGAAAACCAAGGCTCAGAAAGGTGAAGGGTCTGGAAGAACAGGGACCCTGAATCTATTAACCCAACACTGATTTTTTAAAAAAATATATATCCTTTATTGATTTCAGAGTGGAAGGGAGAGGGAGAGAGAGAGAAACATCAATGATGAGAAAGAATCACTGATGGGCTGCCTCCTGCACGCCCCCTACGGGGAATGAGGCCCACAACCATGACCTCCTGGTTCATAGGTCGACGCTCAACCAGTGAGACACACCGTTGGGCTCCACGCTGATTTTTAAAGTGAAACATTCGTTATTTTGTTTGGACGCCATTCCAGTATGAGAAAATTCCTTAGGGATTATGTTGGGGGGTCCCCAAGACAACCCCTCAGCTCGACGATTTGCTAGGAAGACCACACAACTCAGCATGGTTTTGCTTACAGCTGTGATGGCAGCGAAAGGAGACAGAGCAAGTCAGCAAAGGGAAATGGCACACGGGGCAAAGACTGGGAAAACCAGCGCAAGCTTCCAAGAGCCCCTCCCAGTGGAGTCACAGGACACGCTTAATTCCCCAGCAGCAAATTGTGACAACATGCAAAACACCATCCACCAGGGAAGCTCACTCGACAGTGCCTTAGCGGGGGCCGGCCACCTGGGCTCCCTCTGCCTACTACACACTGAAGTTCCAGGCTCCCAGGAGGAGAGCAGGGGTGCAGCTCCCCTTTGTTCAGTTTAAGCACAGTGAGCACTGCTCTCAGCTCGGCATCCTCCTGAAATCCAAGTTCCCAGACACCAGCCAGGGACTTCCCTGCCAGCAGGCCTGTCCAAGGATACACTGCTCTGCTGACTCTCTTCTGCCCAGGAATAAAACCCTCTGGGCATCGCCCCAGGGGAGCAGCTCTTGTGAAGATACCATTGAATGGGTGATGGTGTCCTTAACACTAGCAGATCATCCCCAGTACTTCTGTCCCCAAGGGCTCATTCAGCTGTGGCACTGGGATACTCAACCACACAACTACCACTGGCAGGAGGTTATCAAGTTCAAATCCTGTCTTGGCCACATCTCCGTATTATGTGACTTGGCCTCAGTTGCTTCTTCTTTAAAATGGGCACCGAGGTCAATTCTCCCTTCCATCCCTATATGCTGTTGTGAGGAACAATTACAAGACTCCTTGCAAACTGTGAAGGCTTCCATAGAGGGACCTGAGGATGAGGCAGGTGGTGCTTCCCCCAGGATGGTCTCCTCAAAGATGC